TTTATGCTGCAACAGCAAGAATATACTTTAATTAGTTTGGAAAGTTCCTCTGCATTCTGCATTAAAAAAGTTCTTTTTACACGTACTTATGAAATTTTCGTCAGTAATTGTCACAGGCGAAAAGTAGCAAATTTTAACAAAGATATTTAAATTTAAATTAAAATAGAAATAAAAACGAAAAGTTGGTAAATATTTTAATTATGATGTTATGAAGTTTTAACAAAATACTCGCATTTTACGAAATAATTTCTCAAAAGTTTTAATTGTCTCGTTCGCAAATTCAAATTCGACTTTGTGCGAATTAAGTTGAAATATAATTTGCTAAAATAACACTTGAATATTTTATATTCAGCATTTAGCATATTAAAGAAACATTTCAATTAATGAATTTAAAATAGAGTTAAAATATTAGTCTCGATCTAACGAATACCTGATATAAGAAATCCTCTACATAATGAACAATCAAATACTTATAATAACAAACATTACATAAATCATCTCATTAAATATTATTTTTAAGATGAATATTACAAGATTTTAAATCACAGACACAGGATCAAGAATTTAAACTTAGGTGAGATTATACCGGCGAATCCTAAGGGATCCACTTAGGCCTTTTGGCTCATTGTATTCCCGTATATAGAAGAAAAATCAGGGTGAGCGAATATACTCAACATTACATATATGTACATATGGAAAAATATTTATTTCTATTAACGTAAACCATATCATCATCGCTCGAGGTTTTATGCCAGAGGATGTAAAGTCGTATAAACTTTATATATAGACTTTGCAAAGCTGTGAAAGCGTTTTTGTAACAAATAGTATGACTATCATAAACAGAAAAATCCTGACTCCTGATTCCATATCAATTCAAATTTAAAGAACCATCTTCAAATGCAATAGATGGAACACTGAAAGAATATCGCTTGAAACAAAAGCCGGTAAAAGAAACGTCGTGGATATCACAACGAAGATGATGGTATCTGAAGAATACCACATCACCATAGACCGTTTCGTTACGATCATACTCACACGGAAAAAATATTATCTAGTAAGTGGCCATTTTTAAAAAACAAAGACACAAATAAACATAAGCGAGGCCTGAACGTAGGCTAACGAAAAAAAAAACCAAATTTTTTAGTAGGAAATCAACATAGGAACCCTATTCTGAAGTATTCCCGATAAAGTTCCTGGATGAAACGGTCTGGTACATAAGAAGGATTGTTTTTAGTTCACAAATTTCCAGCAATTTTTATTTTTGTTAGTAATTTTTATGTAAACATTTACAACTTTAAAACCTGACTTATAATTAGAACATACGACATCATGATTTTAATAATTATGGTTATTTCTGTCTTTATTAATTTTTAATTCCATTTCAAAATTTATCTCTTCACTCTTTGTTTTATTTTCATCATTCCGGCAGACAATTAACTATTATTTAATTATTGGCCATTTTAGTCTCTGTGTCATCTTCAATAACTTATATGTTTTCACTTTTAACATTATACTATTGATCCATTTATTTATGTTTTAATTTCTATATTATTGTGAGTATTATTTTTAATTCCAGTGATGTTCCAATTAATTATTGTCAAATTAGTTTTTGTTTAACATTCCTCAATATCGGTATCCGATTCAGAAGACGTACCGTCGAGTTTTTCTATTGTAATGTAACCTGCCTTTATAAAAGTAATATAAACACTTAATAATATTATATGAAAACTAAAATATTTACTACAGTTTCCATAAATTTCTTTCTACATAAGGGACAACGTTTTGTGGTGTTTCTGGTATTTGCATGGTTAACGTAATCCTTGATACATTTCTTGCAAAAAACGTGTCTACAACTCAGTTTGACCAAGTCCACAATTGAATATTGGCAAATGACGCAAAATTTTTCACTTTCGTCCATATTTGATTTTTACCACTGCTAAAAAAAAAGTGATGTGAAAGAGACACTATAGAAATGGTATATTGTAGTAGATTATGCAGTAAAGAACAGGTGATAAAGAAATTAATGATTACGTAGAGGATGTATGAAGTTGTAAGATAATTTTGATATTAATTCCCTTTGTGTGAAAGAGTACACTATAGAAATGATATAATGTAGTAGATTATGAAGTGACGGACATGTGATATAGAAATTAATGATTACCTAGAGGATGTAAGAAGTTGTAAGACAATTTTGATATCATTTCCATTTGTGTGAAAGAGTACACTATAGAAATGATATAATGTAGTAGATTATAAAGTGACGGACATGTGATGGAGAAATTAATGATTACGTAGAGGATGTATGAAGTTATAAGACAATTTTGATATCAATTCCCTTTGTGTGAAAGAGTACACTATAGAAATGATATAATGTAGTAGATTTTAAAGTGACGGACATGTGATAAAGAAATTAATGATTACGTAGAGGATGTAAGAAGTTGTAAGACAATTTTAATATAATTTCCCTTTGTGTGAAAGAGTACACTATAGTGCTGTAAAAACGATGTGATAAAAAGCCAAAAGTTTTTGACGTTATTATATATTGTTTACTGCTTTTGATTTATACTTTTATAGTATTTCCATATTGGAAATACTAGAGGTACGTTCAGGCTGGTTTAAGCATAACTTTGTACAATATAAACTTATTTTTCAAACATAATTGAAAATTCGTTCAAGCCATTAGTACATTTTTCAGATTTTTAGAGTGAGTTATATACTGCTTATATGGTTTCTCTGGTTATTTTTGCAGTCTAAATCTATTTTCAAATATTTCACAAACTCACATTGTTGAATTGCAATATTGTTATAATTACCTTATGGGCAGGTTTCGTTCCTGATAGCGAATATAACTTATGTATATTTTTCCGCTTTGATTTTATATTTATATTTTATTAATCATTAATTGATTTATGGGTATATTAACTGTACTTATAAACATTAAAATGCTTCAGATGGAGTTATATCGCATGATATAGCACAGTCAAATATTGACCGTACTTACAGTATTCATATGGGTAACAAAATAGTTCTACATTGATATCTGCCATCTGTAATTTTTTTTTTTTTGAAGGTTGTATTTACTATTTTTAAGAAAATTTTCTTATTGAAAATCGAACAAATAGAATATAAATAGAGTTCTATTTTTTTACTTTTAAATTATTAGGTACCTTGTTGTACCTAATACGCTGAAAGGTATTATTCTTTGGAAAGAAAACATTCTAAGGAAGTACAAAACCTCTACTGGCAGATAGTCCTACGATCCTACGAGTTTTCTCTTAATTTTTTCATATATTAATTTGAGGCTATGGAAATTCTTATGGTACGTACCGAATAAATGAGCTTCAAGACTTAACGAATAAAAATTTTAATGTCAGTAATCAAATGTCAATAATTGCAAATTCAGGTTGTCTATACTTAAAATTGGTATATTTAATTTATTTAAAACAAAAATTATTTTAAATGTTTTATTTCAAAACATTTTATTCGCAAAAAACTTGACATAATTGAATTGAATTCTCGCCATATGTATATGAAAGCTTTTCTATAAGATCTAGTATTCAATTTCATTATACCAAAATCTTTAATTGCATATCTCACATCAAGCTTAAATCCATTTATGAATCACTGTTTGTTCAAACTGTATCGAACGCAGTTGCCATACCAAAAATTGGTTACTCTCAGCTAAAGTAGAAACTATATACTCATCTACGAATGAAATTTCCACGCTTTGCCAAACAGACCGCTGGTCTTGGATTCTGCCACGTAATGTCTCTATCAGTGGAAGTGCCGAGAATATATTGCAGTTGAGCAAATTTTCATCAAAGTAGATTAGATATGAAGTAGTATAAAATCAAGGCCCAAGGCTTGGCATACATATACCATACATGCTTACATTTTACGCTTTGGCGCTTCAGTGAAGCACGTACGCGTAATTATTTCGTAGTTGCGTACAAAATGAAATTGTCACAATTGCACATTCTGCAACAAAGCTTTCGCATTAACTAAGTTCCCTTAGCGAAAGTTAGTAATGATAGTGAAAATATAGGATTAACTGGAAAAAGTTACAAGTACCAATTTTAAATTCTTATATATTGAAAGTGTTTATATATACCCTAACATGCATTTACATGAACCTGCATGTCAATGCATGCACACGTGATTGTAATTTTACTCCTACCATTGGTGTACTAAGTTATACTGCATTATATGCAGATATACTTGTATGCATATGGGATGGAAAATATCATCCTGCAGGTATGTGTGTGCATTTAGTCGCAGATACTTACTCGCATTTTGAATATTGGACAACATAAAATTGCTGTGAAAAATGATATGCAGTAAATTTAATTGGAAAATATTGCATAGTGCGGTGAAGTGCTCTTCACAGTACTACCCAACTAATTGCATATTGCGTTGTAAGTCTGACTATGTACATTGCACTGTCTGTCCTTCCAAGCTGTGTGCGTGGGTGTCTCGGCAGCAGTTTTCGGTTGGAAATTTGCGGCCATAAAATGCAATCCAATTTGTAATGAGGTTAACATAAATTTAACTTGCGGACATTCAGCACTGCAATTGTAGGTCGAGGCATAATTTCGAATATTTTCCCAGTAATAAATGAAATGAAAATCTGCATGCAAATTCTTTACATTCTATGTTGATGTGTTCTTTTTGTTGTTGTATCATTACATATTTATTAAATTAATAAAAATTATTAATATTATTATTTCGTTTGAAGATGATGAGTCTGAAGGTAATTAAAAACAAATAATCATGTTCACATAAATATTTTTGTAATTGCTTTTTTTTTAAATGTAATTAAATAGTTCTTTATGTTCTTAATAATATAATTAAAAATGTTGTTAATAGTAATTAATACAAATATCTGACAAAACTTATAGAGTTAATTATACAATGTAAAAGATTTTTTTAATATTAATACTACAACATAGCTACTGCATACCGTCCTAACAAACCTTAAGGACCTCAGGACGCAAAGAAAGATATGCTGATCTACGGTCGGTCATCAGTTAGAAGATAAATAAGTGATAATGATTCTATATGTTGAGGCTAGTTGAGTTGAGTCAGTTGAGTTGAGTCAGCACTGAGTTTAGTGTGGGGCAGGGATAAGCCCCTCAGTCACTAAAAAATAAAAGTGCGCAATAGCATTAACTCAAATGACAACAACAACAACATACACTAGTGGTTCAAAGTGTTCGACTATTTGAACACTTCAAATATTCAAAATGACTCAAGTTACTCAAACAGCTGACCTCTACTTTATGCTTATGCTTAAATTTTGTTCATTTCATTGTATAAAAATATGTTCGGATATCAAATACTCCTCCAAAAATTTTGAACGGCTTACTGTACTGTACTAGATCCAAATGTTCGAGCAAAAGCACACTGGAACATCAAAGTGAATGAAGTTTTAAATAGTTCCAATAAGAAACGCATTGCTTTAAAATTATACTATATTTATGGTAGATTGATCCCATCAAAAAATACATAAAGGATAGAGCCCTGAAATTATTTGCGAAATCTGATAGACTTACCAACACTGAGTTATCAAATCTCAGAATGGTTACAGGCACTTCGGGGAGGTATGTAGATCTGAGGTCAATTATTGCTTAGTCTGATGAAGTGATAAACAATAATCCAGTCAAGGCGCAAAGAGGGGTTTTGAAGAAACCTCGCAGTTATTAGAGAGTAAAAGTGCTCAGGTGCACTGACTCCATTAGCCTCAACATAATAATAATTATGGTTTCAATAAAGTTCGATTATAGTAGTGTTATTTTCCAGAAAATTTTTCCGCAATATCAGACATTGTATAACGCATATTAATGATAATCCTTTGACAACTTTAATAATATTTTTGTGGGTAGACTTATGATAAAACATGATTTTAAAGACATTTCAGCCATATCTTATCTTGATGGTAATGCTGTATGGGCTAAGACCTTTATGCACTACGACCAGCTTGATATATTATGTACCCCTTTGTATTTAGAAATTTAGTATCTCGAGAAATCAAAGCAGCTCCTTCAGAGGAAGTTTCTGAAGGTCTTCATCCTCTAGTTGGTATGTACCTAAAAGTTTGTGTGTTTTGTGGCCTAATGCACACAGTTGGTGATCAGATATTCCATAGACTCTTCCTTATTACAGCAGAATTTGCAAATATATGTGTCGGATACACATATTTTGTGTAGGTATTTATTCAGGCGGCGTGGCCCATTAGTGCACCAGAGTATGACTTTAGATTCTTCTTGTTTAGATTAAGAACGATGTTTGCTCTTTTAGCATCAAAATTCAAGAAATTTTTGAAATGATTTAGGCCGTTTAGCCATATCTTATAAGGTTCTCGCGACATTTCTGTCACTATTTCTGTCACTAATATTGCATGTATTAACTTTGTTATGTATTATAACGTCTATATAATTCGATATCCATGCAACTATATAAATAGAGTTTTAAGCTCACATATCCATACCAAAAATGTAAGCTTAAAAAATTAGTTGTGTAATAAGCCTCGATATGGTCAGAACCAGACCAGAAAGAACATAAGACTGCATATCTACTTAAGATGGCATTTAAGGTGGTTTTTATTTATCGAAAATTGGATTTCAGATTTTTTAATCTGTTTATTAAATTTTCTATTAGTAATATTTGTAACAAAGTTGGCAATGACATCAATTGAAAGGATAATTGGCAGCATTGTATAAATATACATGTATAAAAAAATATAGATTAAGTTGTCAGTTCGACTAGGGAAGTTGATGAGTGAACAACTTAACGCAAGAGCTTCAAGAAACAAAAAAAAAATCTCAGGAAAACTTAAGGTACTTAATTAATTTGGTGAAGGTATAACACAGGTGGGTAGGGTAATTAGTATTATATGCTTTTTTAATTATAATTTTTTATTGTTTAAGTTCCTTTAAGTCTGGTGTCAAGAATATTGTTTGAAAAATTTGATGTCACAGACTCCATAGTTTTTTGACAAGTAAAGTGAGTGGTATCTAAACTTTTATATATATATATATATATGTATATAATATATATATATTGCTTGTGGCTTGTATTTATCTAAAGATGTCTTACAAACCAACTTATATGTATTGATTTATTGAGGCTAGATGTGATTTATTAAAATCTTGATTTACTAACATTTTTCAATTCTGAGTTATAGTATAATAAATTGCTATAAAATGCTATTATATATTCGTCCTGTAAACACTTTTTATTATGTGGATCCTGTTATTAGTAATATATGGTTTACATATTGGTGTTAAATCGCATAAAAAAATTGAGTAATCTTTTTCGGTCTCTGAAATGAATTACAAATGCTATGGGACAAAAAGTGCTGCCAAAAATTTCAAATAGTAGGAATATTCATAATATTTAAAATTCTTGTTCCAATATACAATTTGTTTTTAAAGCATATATTATTTTAGCAAAAGCTTAAATTTATAAAAGTTTTTATAAATCTATATCCATAACTAAGCTATGTCTTTCTTCTATTTAGTATCTTTTTGTCTATTCGTTGAAATGGAAGGGAAAACAATTATAATAATTATGGAATGATAATTATTATAAATTTACCATTATAACTGAAAAGATATTATGTACTTGCTTAAACAAATCTACATTTAAGGCTATTTTCCCGATGATTTCATTCATCAGCAACGGATGAATTTCATTCAAAGTATGAATACAAGAAAGGTTTAATATTGTTTAGAAATGATAATGAGAGTTTAATTTAGTGATAAGTTATTCACAAAATCTGTAGGATTTATTTATCCTTGTTTTATTAATATGATTTTTAAGTATATGATATCGAAAAAATTTTAATTTGTTACAGATTTTCAGACTTACAAATAAAAAATAAAAATTTACTACGACGGTGTCATTGCTCAAAAATCTAATACTAAAGACCTAAGGTAATCCAAATAGAGTTTATTCATATATCTTTTATTATAAAATATATAAAAATACTATATGTACAAAAATACATGAAAGTCTATTTCGATATTTTATAATTACGTTTACTTCTAGTTTAATTCCATTTGGGTATATACCTGATTAGAATATCCAAGTTCAAATATTACAGTAAATACAGTAAAATTGCCTCAATTATTTTTATTATCTTAATAACTCAAAAACTCGTTATTCTCAAAATTTTATTTAACAGGAAATATTAAATATTAAATTTTATTATTTCACTTTTACATATTTTTTGTTTCGAACAGATATAAATCAAAATGAGTGCATCCATCTTTTGTCCAATTTGCCAGGATACTGCTGTTGCAATACAGTTGTTACCTTGTGCCCATCCGTACTGCTCAGATTGTATACAAGAGTATATATATTGGGCAGAATCTGAAAACCGTAGAAAGTTTTGTCCATTATGTAACTTAGAATTCCTAGTTACAGACGTAATTAAATATCTTTCTAAATAAAGCTTTATCTTTTTAAATAATAATTCTGTTTAGGAGGGATTCGAAGCAGTCAATATGGAAAATAACACTGATGACATTTACGAAGAACTTATGGAGGTCTTTGAGGATATAGATACACATTATGAACAAAACATGATTTTAATAGAAGAAATGGGGGATCCCATTGAAAGTTACGTAAATGAATTCGAAATGATTATTTCAGAAAATGCACAAATGATTTTAAATGATATAGGAGATGATCAGTCAAGTAACGACGATACTATAATTGAGGAGTTAACTGTTCTTGAAAATATTGATGATAATCTTGTTCCCTCAGTCCATGTCAGTGAATTTACTTATGAAAGCCATGCTAATTATGTTGTCGAACATAATGTTGATGAAAACCTATCTGAAGAAATCTTTGATTTCGGAAACCCTATAAATGAAAACTGTCAAGAGATAGAGTTTGATAATAATTATCTTTTAGATGATAATTGTAACAACGAAGACTATTTCAATGAACACCCTTGCAATGAAAATATTGATACCTTTGAGCCTGATACCAACGAGTTTGATACCGATGAGTTTGATGCCGAGGAGTTTGATGCCGATGAGTTTGATGCCGAGGAGTTTGATACCGTCGAGTTTGGTACCGACGAGTTTGGTACCGACGAGTTTGGTACCGACGAGTTTGGTACCGACGAGTTTGGTACCGACGAGTTTGGTACCGACGAGTTTGGTACCGACGAGTTTGGTACCGACGAGTTTGGTACCGACGAGTTTGGTACCGACGAGTTTGGTACCGACGAGTTTGGTACCAACGAATTTGGTACCAACGAGCTTGAAGATGTTTCTTTTGGCAGTATGGAGATGATTGAAATTGAAGACATCAGTTTTGATGACATTAATTTTGATTATATTAACTTTTACGATTTCAATGATGAAGAGCTTAATAACGATAGTCAAAGTGATGAAGGCTTAGTTGGCGAAAATTTAGGTGACGATGACATGTCAAATGCACAAATACCAGAACAAGAAGATATGTTCATTGATGATTATGATGAAGAATATAACCAACATTTGTAGTTATAATATCTGAAAATTGGTGTTCAAATTTTTTTTAAATTTTTATTGTTAAATTATTGTTGTTATCACATTGCATTATTTTTTATTTTGCAGTGTTGGTTTTTTATATGCCACCTTTTTGTACACGTTTTTTCTATGTTCTTTTGTATTATGTATTAATGAACTGTAGTAATTCTAACAAGTATAAAGTGCTTAAACTGATAACTCAGTGCTTCAAAGTGGGAAAAAAACAAGGCGCAAGTAAAGAATACATACTAAACATTACGACATGGAATTCTTGTCAATTTTTTGATAAACTGTCGTAACTATTTTATTATCTAATAAAAGCAAATTGTTAATAACAGTACTTATTTATTTGTCTATTACAACTGGTTCTCGGTTTTGCCTTGGCGCAGCATTCTTCTTAAGGCGTCTCTGTTGCATTCACAAGTCTCTTACAATAAGCTTGGTTAGTGTCTCTCAACTTGATTACTTCAACGTTGATACGATCTACCTTTAGGTATTTTTCCACAACTGCCACATCAAACAACTTTTTTATTTGAGCATTGTCATGAATTTCTACGAAATGACCAATCTTGCTCATATAGAATATTCGGAAGGTGTTGCTAATCGTAGAAAACCAAATTCCCTGCGAAGAACTTATCTGTCAAATTTTATTAGTGCTCTCTTTCATCATTTTGTGATGGCAATATACATAGACATATTGTTTAGTGATAGTAATTCAAGCCAAGTATTGGCTAAACTAAGATCTACATTGATAATATTGCCCTGTTGATGTGAGGCTAGCGAATGAAACTTATTTCATTAAGTTCGCATTATACAGATATACAGATAATACGGATAACAAATAATATACTTGGGAATATATACAGATAATATACTTGGAAATTTACCTGAATAGTTAATTGACCAAAGAAGCTTACATACCTATTCATAAATATAAAAGTTTAGCCCCCAAGACTTATAAATATATACTTCATTGCTATTAGAAGACAAACTATGTGCATTGTATATTACTAAAAATACTGCTCTAATTACACAAACAACTCCAAATCGTAACAAAAAACGTTTAAAATTGTAATTATTTACACCAATCGAATCATCTAAACTCGCTAAGATGGACCTAGACATTGTCCTACATGTCTTGTATAGCGTACATGAAATTATAACATACACTAATACCCCGATTTCCGTCACCTCGATTTGCTTTGATTTAAATTGCGTCTTAAAAAATAATAAGTTTTGGCTTCGAACTGTTTCGATAGAGTTTCGATTTGCATCGTTTTTAAATAGATACGTACAGAAGGGACTCCCATTTTATTTCTTGTAGCTCACGTTTTTTTAAAAAGGAATTTAGATTTATTTATTTTTTAGTTAAAAGCATTCAGTTTTCACTTGTATATTGGAGTGGAAAGGTAAATTTCTGCTTTATAAAACCTAAAAATAAATTAAAAGCGAAAACAAATTTTTAAAACTTAGAGAAAACCCTGTTGACATTGGGAGAATTCTGGGTTTAGCTCCAACTACTGTAAGAACAATTTTTAATTACGATACGGACAATATAAAAGCCTATGGAAAACCCACACATTTACAGACTAAACAAGTTACAAAAAATAGAAGTCCATTAATTGTAAAAATGGAGTCCTCTCTATCCATTTGGGTAGAAAATCAGAAACAAAGAATGAATGCGGTTGAGCTAAATGCTAATTCACAATAAGGCTCTGTCGATATTCAATGAGTTATAAGGTAATTTTCCATCAACAAGTGATAAAAACTTGAATACCTTCTGCTCAAAAAGTACTCGAATTTTGTAATCAAACGCACATATTTGAATTTTATTCCAAATTTATTTTATTTCCTTCAAAATATGCTCCTTCTGAAACGATACGCATATGCCAACGTTTAACCCAATGTTCCATACACTTTTCGTAGGCCCGTGAAGATATGGCTTTTAGTTCTTTCAGCGAATTCTCTTTCACCGATTAAATCGACTCAAAACGCTTACCACAAAGGGGCAATTTGAGTTTCGGGAACAGGAAAAAGTCGCACGGATCCAGATCTCGCGAATATGGTGCCTGAGCGATGACAGTGGTGGCGTGTTTGGTGAAAAAGTCGCCATAGTAAAAATCGCTAAATGCACTTGAGGTAGTCTGAAATTAACAGCTGCTGTAAACAAACTAATTGACAGATGGCGCTCAAATTTATACCATATGTTAAGAAAGGGTGTAACAACACAACAAAAATGTTTGAAAAAGGTCTATTATTTAAGGAGTAGTTAACAAACAACAAAATCCGGACACTTTTTTAGCAGAAGGTATATTTGCAAATGAAATATATAGAGAAAAGTGATTCCATTTACGTTATTTTCGATTCAATTTCAGATTATAATTAATAAACTGAATTTAAAATAGAGAAAACTTAATTAAATAAGTAGCTGACCATCGAATAATTTCGTTGTCTTTTAGGTAATTAGATCAGTTTATTTGTCCAGTTCAGCCTTTATTTGCATGTTGTGGATTCAATAAAGTAGTTAACTTATGTATTGTACATTTGCAGTAACTTAATAAAATATATATTAATTAAAATTGTCATTACGAAACAATTTTGTTTATAAGAAAAACATTCATTTATGTTTAATTAATTAAAAATAAATACCAAACTGTCATTAATGAATATTCGAATGAATTCAGTTTACGACATTTTAACTAATACCTTGGTAAATGTTTGATAAGTACCTATAACACACAATTACTTGTTACCATACCACAAATATAATCAGGAACAATATACATATAAATATACTCGAGCACTGTCATTAAAGAAGCAAAATACCAAATCAAGTTTGTAGATTTTTCCACTTTGTTAGAAAAGTGTCATTACATTTTTAACCAAACAATTTAGCCGCCATTTAAACAATTAAATGGCAATAAATAACTAAACTTTTCAGTTATTTGGCAACAAAGGCCAGCCAACTCTCGTCCTTTTCCTCCCCATTGAATAGCGAATTGTAAAAAATTGTGAATCGCGTGGATATCCTGTTGTGAGTCAGAAAAGTTATGAAAATGATTTACAAGTCATTTGGCAAATACTCGCAATATTTTATTAATTAATTACGTACAAAGGCTGTCAAAAAAATGAAATAGCGGCAAAATACCTTTACGACATGGCAACGTAAGCAAATGTCAAACGGTTTAATTCGATACATTAATAATGGCACCAAAAAGGAACTTGTGAACGCGCCGGAAATGAAAAATGAATGATGGAAAATACTCAAGTACCTAAGTTTCAATAAAAGTTGAAGCTACTATTCGTACCGTTCACTTATTCACGTACATAATAAAGTAAAATATTCAGGGGGAGCCGACCATGTAACAGACGTAATAATATTGGGCTGAATTCAGTTAATGCCCATTGTGCAATTGTTGTCACGCAAATATTAAATTTTCCATGAAATGAGAAAAACCAAATGAAGTGAGCATTTTGTAAATTTTAATTATACAAAATTTTGTTCCTTTTGTTATAAGTTTTATTATTAAACCTTAAAATAATTTGTTTCCTTTTCTGCGCTATAAACTAAATAGGTGTACTCAGTTTATATATATAATAATAGTTTCTATATTAATAACAACACAAATAAAAAAAAAAAATTAAATATTTTTAACATCATTTACGATCGACATCTTACCTATCAACATCGCGGCGAAAGGCGAGGTAGCTGGGGCAGCTTTACGGATAAGAGAACTAGGAATTGGAAGCAGTTGTGGATGGATGCAAGATTCCATCCTCAGAGAAATTGATTTCATTCCGAATATAAATGACTACTGTACTACAATTACAATTGTGGACAGATATCTTGAATTATTTATTCCTTCTAGGGAGACATGGGAAAACTACTCTGTAAAGAGTGTTAATCGCCTTAACTTCTTTACAGACGGCTCAAAGTTAGATGGACAAGTAGGAGGAGGAGTATACTGCCCTGAACTAGATCTCAGTATGAGTTTCAGGCTACCGGATCACTGCAGCGTTTTTCAAGCTGAAGTATCTGCTATATTGGAAGTTTCAGATCGGCTGGAACACAATGTCTCCTCCGTTAAATTTATAAACATATTTACTGACAGCCAGGCAGCTATAAAATCCTTAAACTCGTCGACCTTCAACTCGAGGTTAGTACTGAATTGTCTTACATCACTTATGGTGATGGCTGAATATTTTCGGATACGAATTATTTGGGTCCCTGGACATAGGGACATCCAAGGCAACTGTATAGCAGATGAATTAGCAAGACATGGTACGACAGCACAAATTCTTCTGGAAAAAGAAAGTGTGGGTATACCAGTTGCTTCTTGTCGGCACCGAATAAAATTATGGACATACCAAATGTTTGAAAGAAGATGGTCAACAGTAACCAACTGCATAAAAACCAAGGAATTTTGGCCAAAAATAAGTAAGAAAAGATCGGGGGAATTAATCAATCTATCCCGAGCAAATTTATCCAGGATAGTGGGAATTATTACGGGACACTGCCCGTTGGGAGGACATGCCGTGAGGCTCAACATCAGGACCTCCTTACATTGTAGGCATTGCATGGAGGATGATGAAGAGGAATCACCAACACACCTTCTGCTACAGTGTTCTGCCTTCGCAAGACATAGACTATCCTTCTTAGGGTCGCACTTTTTCTATTCATTAAGAGAGCTAGATTCTATTTCCATAGCTCGTGTCAATGGCTTTGTAGCCAATACCAAGTGGTTATAGGGACAGGTGTCAAATTCTTAGGGTGTCACAATGGACCTCATGGTCTAAGTGAGTCTTCGGACGGCCCCAGTAACCTAACCTAACCTAACATCATTTACTAAAAGAATTTCAGAAATATAAATTTTTCACATGATTATGAAAACTTGCCCCTTATCGATCCACATATTACAAAAGAAGATAGCTAAGTGATTTGGTAAGAGTATTGAATCCTCAATTGGCTAAAATATTCGTACAAATTCGACATTGGTCATAACTGTGGAAAAAAAGTTGAGCATATTGGAACTACCCGAACTTACTTACATGGATAA